ATGTGGATTTATAGGGTGTTTGTTATATAATGAGCTAGAGTTTTATGCAAAAGTAATAAACATTAAATAAGCAAAAGAGAAAATAGCCAAAATTAATCAAAATGTAGTTGGCTTAATTAGCTGATCACAAGTGTATATTAAAAGTCACCTCAAAGCTAAATACTAAGTTAAATTAAATATTTAGATATGCGTGTGAAACGCAGGAGGTAAGGAAAATATTTTTGAGGGGATTTCCACCTGTTAAAAAAAGTAAAATTAAAATTTATTTAATAACTTAAGTAAATACAAATTAAAATATTGGCGTCAGACGAAGGAGGTGTAAAAACACTGTATGAAAAATACTTTCCTAAAGTGTTGCCACTTGTTTAAAATGGTTAAATTCAGTTTAATGAATTATTTTAGGAAGTATTAAAATATGGCTGTCAGACGAAAGAGGCTTCAGGAAGCACTGTTTAAATAATTAAATTGAATTTAATTAATAGTACAAAGTAGGGGTTCGACGAAAGGGATTTAGTAAAGCTTTATTTCGAAAATGCCGCCTGTTTAAATAGCCAAATTCAATAATTTTTTTTCTTTGGTCTTTATTTATTTATTTAATCCCCTTATGTCTAAAGCCTAACAAAAAGTAATTAGTTAAATAAAATACTGCAATAGCGATATTATTTTGAAAGCATTATAAAACAGAGTTGCCAACTTTCCTTAATGATGTTGAATGGGGTTGTAACAAATAGTACTAATTTGAAAAATTTGGACATATAGATACAAACGTACAGTAGACAGGTTCAATGGTTCCGGCAATCTTTTTGTATTTCTATGAGCGATATATGTACATACATGGCAACCATTATATGGGAGATAGAAATGTCCTGGAATATAATTTTCATTGCGAAATTTTATAATCGGAAAAGATCCAGACCTTCATAACACTGAAAGTCGGACAGAAACAAGATAATCAGCTGGTAGAAGTTACTTAGTTACATGCAAGTACATTGTGGTAAGTTGAATACTCCTATCTTAAGAGAATATGCGAGGTATAAAGACAAATCTTTTGATAGCGCTATTACCGCTCCACATACCAGTAAGAAGTCTCCCATGCATAATGAACTGAATAGCTTCCCACCGCTCACATCTGCACTTTATGATCCATTAAATCAGCCGAATGAAAGATATGATACATAAAAATAAATGTCCTACTTATGGTGCATTTTATCAAGAGCCCTGAGAAGAAATTCGAAGTAAACAAGCCAAGGCCTTTTGTTAAACTTCTTTTATACGAGTATCATACACCAGACACTCATTCATTCGCTTATGTGTTTTATTTATTTAATACCTGAATGAAGACAATGGCTGTATGACCTTTTTTTCTAAGATAAGCTTATGTCTGTATTAATGGAAGTTCCCATTATGTAGTGTGTGTGGCCTAATTCGGTTTTGACCTGCTGTTACCTGTTTAACTAGCAAGTGAAAAGGCACTTGGCTGTGGTCAAATTGCGCGTAGCATATGGCAAATCTTATAAATAGACCTAATAAGAAAAAAGCCCATTAGTTTAGTCACAGTGCTTACGTACATAGCCATGTGTACATATATTTTTGTATTAGTAAACTAAGTGGATGTAAGGCCAGCGAAGGTAAGGCTGCAACATATGGCGTTTTATTTTCTACAAAAATGTTGCCATTTATTTGCCCTCTGCTTAGCGTTTGTTCAAAGAGGGCAATGAAAGGGCAACATTTTTTGGTAGAAACGAAAATGACAATATGTAATGGTGAAAATTATGTGGTTCATTTCGTTATTTTATCTGGGACAACTAAGCGTATACGTGATATCAGAAAAAAGATGTTTAGTTGGCTTCTGCATGAGCCAGATATTTAGTTTATTGGACTCTAAATTTTTATCATTTATATATGTATATTAATTTTCATAGAAAAATGTTGCCTGCAATTGATTGAAGGAAGGCGGAGCCAATCGCTTTTCGGGGTTTGGTTAGTTTAGATTAGGCTTTCCATTTCTGCTCGCATATTCTCGAGCATTTCGATACCCGGGAAATTGAGTAATCGAGTTCTCGGCCAGTGGCGGATCAGAATATTTGTCACCCCTAGGCAATTCAGAATTTGCCGCCCTTTTTCCGATAGGAAACATATTTTCAGGTAAAAGTACCAGTTTTGGAACGATTAGCAGTAAATAGTAATATTAAAATTTATGTTATTTACTATACTTTTATTAAAATTTAAGATGAAAACGTGGTATTTGCCTTGAGTAAAGGTTTTAAACTTTTAAAGAAAGCTATTATCAACAAACTTTTTTCACTCGATAAGTTATAATCTCAAAAATACTAAATTAATATTTGTCAATGTTATTGTGGCTTATTAACATTTTATTTTTATTACTTTTAATGAGCTTTGTACCACGATTGTTTATTAGGAAAAATTAACTTTGTTTAGCGGTAGAAGTTATAGCAGCTATTTCGGAGATCACCAGCAGGGAAGTCTAGAAAAAAGAAGTCTGATGAAGAGATGTGGTGATCTCCGAAATAGCTGCTATAACTTCTACCGCTTAGACTTTGTTGCTTTTTCAATTTTTCCTAATAAACAATCGTGGTACAAAGCTCATTAAAAATATTATTACTAAATTCATATTTTTAAATATTATCGTTTAAATAATATCAAAAATACCTAAGAGTGTTGTCCTATTTTCTGATTACGTAATTGAATATCAAATTTTTGTCTTGAAATTTTGTCTACCTTCAGTGCAGCTAACTTGAAAAAAAATTTTTTTTTTCAACTCAAATCTTGCCGCTCCTAAATTTTGTTGAAGGCTCTAGTTTAGATAAAAAAGGAGAAGATCATAGTTTGGTAGCTGCGGGCTTACTATAAAGACAGAGCTCGTCGTCTTGTTGGCCAGCAAATAGAAAGTACCAAATACTCAGCTTCCCTCGATTGGAGGCATTCCACTCGTACTCTCAAGTATTAAGGTGCGATTCTATACAAAAACCTACGCTGAAAGCCAAGTTATGAGGAGTGGGTAGAAGAGGCATCAGTTGCTATGTACCACATAAAAGTACCATAGGGAAGAGCTATGACCTCCCAGATAAGATACAATTTTTACTAAATGAAACCATAATAAAGCCAATTATGTTTTAATTGGTTTTACTGGTAGATTTCACTAGAAAGGTTAAGAAGTTAAAGTTCATGAAAACAGCGGCCCATAGAAGCGCTGGTTTCTCTATCAAGGAGTGAGGTCTCTCCCCCGTCCCTGGTTTCATACCTGAAGAAACGTATCGGTGCATACCAAGTTTGGCTCCGATGAAATCTTTCTCTACAAAAATTTGTTTATGGGGTGAATGGGGGAGTGAAAGCCTCTGAAAAGTGGTCCAATTAACATTTTCACTGGTGGACTGTAGTTATACCGTAAAGTTGGAGCAGATACGGTCTACTAGGAACATTCTGTATAGCTTTCGTATATCTGCATAGATTTTCAGATAAAGGTGGCCGTGATGAAGGAGACAGTTGACTAGCTTCGCATCATGGATTATATAAAAGAAGCGTGAAAATCAATTTTGGTAGCCAAGTTGCAATCAAGGATTTAAAATTGCTTATGTCAGCCTTGGTTTTCGCCTTAAGCATGAACTAGCCGAGCAGAGGGCCCTTCCCCATTAAGCATCCGGACATTCCAGGTGCATGGTCGTAAATCGCAGTATTTTGCACGTTTACTGCGGTCGTCATAAGAAACGGGGGCCTCAGCCGAGGCTTAATTTTTTCCTTAAGCCTAGCGCATAATCCCTTGGTTGCCTTCTCAAATTGGCTCGCTTCCAAACGGATTTTCGGCCGCTAACCAGAGCATACTTGATGTAAACACTCACCGGAAGTGGTAATCTGCTTGAGCAAGGATGCAAAAGTAAATGGCAATCAAAAACATTCCCTACATGAATGGACTTCTGCACCTGTTACCATCCTGCACGCTTTCTGAACTTCGGGCTGATAGGTCTGCGCTACCATTCGGTAGGTCCATAGTTCGATCCTTGATTCCAGCAACATCCAAACAAAAAAGTTTTTTTTTTTAAGCAGTCGCACCCCGCCAGGCAATGGCAAACCTCCGATTGTATTTCTGACATGAAAAAAAGCTTTTCATGGAACATTGAAATCATTTGCCGTTCGGAGGCGGCGGCATACAACAGTATTGGGATCGGGATTGATTTATTTAGCGCAACGTTATCTGTTTTATTTTACTTTCCTTTAGTTTATTTTATTTCTTTCACTTTATATATATACTTTTTCCTTTGGCAATTTTAAATGCGAAAATATTTGGTAATTAACACTTAAAGAGGAGTAGAAAATTCCCCTGCTCCATTCAAAGCATTATGTCCAATTAAGCGCAATGGCGATTCCACAAAAGGCACAAGCAAACGGTTCTTTGGTGCCTTTGACCACCTCGTTGGCATTTTCCGGCAGGTATTATTAATTACTTTTTTTTGCTTTTGAGATTTCCGTGCTCGAATTTTGCTTGAGTTGTCTATTTGCAATGATTTACACCGGCATTTTTACCTATCTCCTTTACTGATTTTCTTTGGCCGTCTTACATGCTGTACAAACATAGATATGTACGTATTTGTGAATTTAGTATTTTGAGCCAGTATTTCCTTGCCGTGCGCTAAAAATGGCATTTTGTGTGCTATACTTTAATCGGAAGTTTTATTTGTTCGGGTAAGTAAAAGGCTGTTGAAAACGAATTGCGAACCAATGTTTTAGTTAAATTAAATCAAATTTGAATAACGGTGACCTTACATACTAAGCATGCACCGGATTCGCTCCAATTGCCTTGCCTCGATTGGAGTGATTATGGAAATAAAATTCGACCGCCACTCAATTCATCACCTTCTACTTTCTAGGTGTTGATTGGAAATTTCACGCTCACTTGCTTTCTTAATTGCTTACTTAATTGATTGTAGTAGGTGTAATCAAATATTCTATTCATGTTTTATTTAGCATAATAACACCACACTCACCTGTCGCACCGCATAGTAGCAGGTGAGGTTGCGCGGATAGATGCCCGGATAGTTGGGCGATTGCAAGCGACACGCCTTCTTGTCACAATCGCTGAAGATGCGCGAGCAATAAGTGCCAGGTATGAGATCGCCTGCAAGGAGAGGGGCGTAGTTACGATATACATACATAATGACTGTCTGCATGGAAAGCAAATTCTCTAAACTCAAATTATACGTAATTTTCAGTGATTGCTATCAAATTTCTTTGCGCAAATTTTCTAAAAAATTTTTTAGTTACTCGACTCACCCAAATAGTATTTTGGCTCGGTGTAGTTGTGCTCATCTCTGTCGACTGCGCGTTGTAGTGAATTCGTAAAAGTTTTATTATTGGCATAGGCGCTGAACAAGCTGAAATCCTCTCCGTAACGATCTGAATGTGCGCCGCTGGAATTGGTAAAATCTTCGATTGCATTTTGATTTTGAAAGGCTGCGATTGTGCCAATGGCGTAGCTCTGTAAAAAGTGAAAAAAAAATGCTTTTACTTCTAAAATAACTTGAATAAGTATTTGTGCATGTTGTTGGCACGAATGTACTTATGTAGGTGCATGTATGCGTGTTTGTATACGTATGTTCATATGTACATATGTATGCTTAGGACGACTTAATCGTTAGTTAATGCAAAATTTTTCATTTTCCTTTTCCTTTTTTTCGTAAACAATTTTGTGTGTAATCGAGCTTCTGCTTTCGAATGGCATTTTATTAATATTCCTTAATATTCCTCTTTTTGCTTGAATTCAATTTGGCAAACGATGCAAGATTTTATCTTTTGGCAAAGTGTTGGCAGGCAATATCGTAGCGAGGGCATTCTCACACTTTTTTGCTTTGGGTTTTTAGTACGAAAGTACTTGAAATAGTGAAGTGAAGAAGCTATAAAACTCTTATAGATTATTTTCGTGTAATGAGAGTGATGTCTTTACGGCCATTCCTTTATAGAAAGTTTTAAGATTTAAAGTTATTAAAGAATTTATTAATAGCTATGTAGCTGGGCCTACGTAGTGGAGTGCATTTCTGCTTTATTAACGTTCGAGTGGCGCAGGTCGGTGGCGAATTTCGAGCGGTGAACCAAATGAAATGGATAATTGAGTAGTTTAAGTAAATAACTGGCATCAATGTATTGTTTTTTTAAGCGCTACGTCTTAAGTTAGGTTAAGTTGGCTAGTCGCCCCCAGTTAGCGACACAATTGGGCATTATCGATGAAACATCGCTGGTGAATAGCGAAGTTCCGCAGAGGACTTATCTATATCCATTCCTGAGAGTTCCTAAAGTTTAGCGTCGTGGATGTCTTGCTGCGTGAATTCCGATCGGACAAAATTCTTCCAGGATCGCTACCAATTAACTGAGCTGACATGTCGCCCATCTGTCCAGCCGTTTCCTAAGCGATGATATCGTTTCATGTATACTTTCTCATCATTTCGGAAATCATACAGTTTTCCGAAATGGCACGGGAACCTACTTCTCATGTACATATGTATATACAAAAATTTAATTGGAAAAAATTACGACGTAATAGAAAGAGTAAACGCTTACCCCTCTTATTGATGTCACAGTTTATTTTTCCTCAAAAAGACAACAAGATTCTTTGGCGTGTATGAAAAGCTAACAACTAAAGACTGCTTCGGCAAACCCTTCTAAGTATCAAGTTTCGACACATCCGGAAAAATATTCACTGCTCCCTCCCTTCAGTGGTGTTGATCAACCCAACCTAACATCAACGCAAAATGTAGGAAACAAAAGCTAAATAGAGCGATTTACGAGACACAGTGATTCGTGTAATCAAAGAGGAAATCTAAACGTTTAAGAAGTTTTTAATATTCAGAGCTGGGCGTGTTAGACATCTGCTTTTCGAGAGCTTGATTGCGGTTCGGGCTGCGGCAGTTTTATCTGCAATCTTAATAGGCTTGGTAAATGGCTTTCCTCCCTCTTTTCTTACTGTAAGCTTTCCATGACAGCTTTCTATTATAGTGGGCTTCTCAGGTTTGAACCGGCTTGAGAATTGCAGGCGAACATCCCCTTCGAAGAAACACTTTATTTAGTGCCCTTCCACTTCCTATTCAATAAGACCAGTTCTATCTTATTTGGATTGACGGTGAGGTAGCTGTTTTACCCCTATTTCGCCGCTAGGTAGTTAGGGACTAGGTAACCCCGATCAGATACATGTTACTTATTCTAATTAAACTTCTATACCCTTCGGAGGTCACGTGAAATGGGCTTCGCATTCAAGTTCATTTTGTTTTCCAGCGTAAAAAGAACCTGAGAATTGAATATACATACATTGCATTGGAGTACTAAAGCATATTCGCCAAGAGAGAAGTGACGATTTTCCTCATTACCTTCGATATAGACAAGAAGTCTGAAACTGTGTCAGTTTTGGAGTCATAAGTTAAGAGTCAACAATGTGTATAACACACAAACACACGTACACACAATGTGTCAGCATGGGCTCAGAGTGTATCTCTTCAGAAAGAGAAATCGAGGCGTAATTGTGAAGACATCACCGTCGTTTTTAAGGAATATTAGGACTACTTCGGGATTCTCGGGACTATATCGGGATTACTGTGACTCTTTCTGTATGTTCTGGATTTTCAAGACCACCTCTGGACATTATCGTCTACTTCGGAATTTTCAGAACTGTTGTGACTACTTCGGCAGTCTCGGGATTGTGGAGTCTATATCGCGATATTCGGTGCCGCCTCGGGATTGTCGGGAAACAATCTTGAAATAGTTTCCAAATGATCCCGAGATCCTGAAATCGTCCTGAGAATCTCGAAATAGTCTCAAAAATCCCGATGCAGTCCCGAAAATCCTTAAAATATGGAAGTATTATCGAAAATTCCGAAAAAGTCCCAAAAATTCCGAAACAATACTGAAATATTGCTTAGAATCCCTAAATAGCCCAAAATGCTCGATCTCAGCTTTAAATTAAATTTAAACACTTTTTCAAGAGCATTTTGTAATATTTACATTAAAATCTATTTATTTAATAAAATGTTACCTGTGTATATCGAGGGCTTATATTCAGAGGGTATTTTATCTGCAATTTTCACAAAAACTACTTTGTGATGTTAGACTGGGACTTACCTGCCATCGCTACGGTGACCATATTTATGAGAGCCGAATACGGGACAAAAAATAATTTTTCAAATTTGTTTCACAACAGCTTGCAGATCTTAAAGCCTTCTTCAATGATCCTAGATCTATTAGCCCTGAAATAGTATCCTTATAGTAACATANAACAGCTTGCAGATCTTAAAGCCTTCTTCAATGATCCTAGATCTATTAGCCCTGAAATAGTATCCTTATAGTAACATAACAAATTTGTAGGATAATTTTCTCGAGATTTTTACCCCGTAAAATTTGTTAAAAAATTCGTTAAATTTTAGTATAATAAAGTGTATTTTTAAGTCGCTAAAGCTTACCATTAATTTTTGGCATTTTTTTTTTTGTTCACGGTGTTAGGCATTTTTCTAAAGATTCTAATTAAAAAGATTGAAATTTTGGTGAAACCTTGCAGAATTAATTTGTATAGGTTTTTGCACAGTTTTTGTTAGGAAAAGAGTTTTACTTTCATAAAATAAATAATAAACATTAAAAAACTTATTAAAAATAGCTAAAACTTACTAAAATGTCGAGCCATTATTTTTATTTTGGTCACTGTATGTATTCTTCGATTCGTATCCCAGGCATTCAGATTAATAAATAATAACTGCTTATGGAGAAAATTAGGATCATATACCAACATTGCTTGAAACTCGTTCATAGGCATGGGGTCAAAAAAGAGGACTGTCCCGTAAAATACAGGACGGATGGTCACCTTAGCCATCACTGATAATAATTCTGACTTTGCAATTTAATAGTACATTCTTCTGTCAAGCGTTATACAAGGTCAGCATTAATATCACCGATGACAGTTAAGTCTTAGGTGGATTTTTATATAAGAAACTCATTTTTGTGAAAAGTGCAGATAGAGGGTATTTCATAAAAGTCCTCGATATGTAACATGCCATTTTTAAAAGCATAAAAATTTGTCTTAGCTTTTGTAAATCATAACACTTTTTCACTTAAATACATAGAATAAATACAGTGTGCACAAGCGAACAATGTTTATAATACGTACGTATTAAATTATCGCGGAAAAACAAAATTAAAAGCTCGAAAAAGTTAGTCGTGCTGTTTACCGACTATCAACATTTTTTCTACCATGGCCAAAATATGTTGTTAAAAGTTACACATTTTAAAAGTTTCACTATTTTTAAAGTTTTGTTAGTTATTTGTACAAATACATGCATGTTTGATTATATGTGTGAGTGCTGCGACAATGTTTTTCCCAGCAGAATAGTTTAGGTTGATTTTAATCATTTTTATTATTTTTTTTAATCTCAGTGTTTGCTTATTTCAAATCCATTTAACCTATAGAGACCTACGCAGACAACCAGCGAAGTGTAGAAAAGTTCACTGGAGAAATACAGTACAGCGAAATAATGTTGCAGGAAAGCTTTGAGCGGATAAGCTCGGGACTGGGTGGTGGCCTGTGTGGGAGGTGGTTGATGTTGCTGTTGCAAATAACAAAGTGACTGTGTATGTGTGTACTTATACACGGTTCTGTTGCATTTGCTTTTGATATTACATACCTTCAAGCTTGATGCCGCCATAGCGAGTTACCGAGCTGTCCTTCGACAAAACCTTGTATCTGATGCGAAAGTCGAAATTGTAACCGCTCTGATCCCGCGCCAATCTGCGCCGCCACATAGTACGGATGTTGCGACAAAGTTAACCAGCGTGCCAGCATGCCAGCGGATCAGTTGGCACAACGTGGGTTGAAGGGTAATATCACAATAGCAGGTCGCAAGTTGGCGTCGGTGTTGGCATTGTCCAAGTAGCAGCGTAGATATGGAAATAGGAAAATGGAAATGGCAAAAATTGAATAGATTTCGAACAAAAAACAGTTTAGACACAATGATATGGAAGTAAATGTATGTGTAAGTAGGCATACGTATGTTGTAGGTAGAGGTGAGATAAATGAAATGCAACGAAACTGAATAAGAGATGTAATGGAGTAACAAGTAAAGTTCCTTGCTCATGCAGATTGTTAAGTGAAAAGTTTTTAGTACGAATTAGTGTTGCATTTGTAATTTCAATTTGTCTCATTGCAAACGGATGTTTTACATTACGGCATATCAAAAAGAGTGGAACGGGATAAAGGGAGGTAGCAAAAAATAAAATAAAATAAGGCTTTCCGTGAAGGTAGTAAAGAGTAATTAACTAAGTGAATAATACAACCCACTTACTTATTTAATTTGATTGTGAAAATCAATGATCTGGTTTCGCTGTAGAATAGCACTGGCCCCCACGAAGTGCCACACCACATGCCACCGATGGGAGTTCGAGCCGATTCGGCGATCTGCATATAACCATCCGGGCAGCCATCATGCAGATACGAAGTGAAACGTCCAATTGTAAAGCTATCAAGTGTTACCTGCAACAAAAGTGAGAGTAGCAGTTACATAAATTGTAGAGGTTGTGTGTGAAAGGTAGGCTATACGCACATAGGCATTGTACATAATAAACATTAGAATGGTGCGTGGAAAATGTTTGAACTAGTTCGCTTTAAAAAAGTGATACAGGCCAGCAAATGAGTGGACAAATCATGTGTATCCGCTAATTCCGAAAAACAAACTAGATCTGAACTGGTCCCGAAATGATTTTGAAAAAGTCCCCAGCCAGGCCCAGAACTGGTGCCTAACTAATCACGCACAGGCATCGAACTAATCTGGAAATGGTCCCGAATTAGACCCTGAAAAGAGTCCTGAACTAATCCGAATAGTCCCGATTCCCGAAAAAGTTCCGAACTAGTCTCGAAGTAGCGCCGAAAATATCCCGAATAGTCCGAAATGATTCTTAAAATCCGGAACTATATCACGAGCAGTGTTGCTTATACAGCTGATTACGAGTTGTTTTATTTGTACTAATTCTGAATTCGTCTTGTTTAACGCGTGACGGCTTTTGCAAATTTCTGCAAATATTGGGAGCAAAGACCCAAGATTAATAATATCAGTATTTTTAAAATTTCCGCCTCGCTTTTTACAAGCTTTTTATCAATACACTACTATAGTGCATATGCCTAAAACTTATGCAATGAAAAGTTGCAGACGGTTATATTTGCGTTATGGAATGCTCTTGCAACAGTCAGTAAATATCAGGCTGTTTTTAATGAAAAATTACCAGATTTTGCGGGTTACACACGAAGCAGCTGCAAATTTTCCACAGTTTAACGCAAATAATACTCAAACATGGAGCAAAGATTTTTGCACATTAACAAGTTTACTAAACAATGGATGTTCTAATATTATGAGGCGAGGAGACGAGCGAGAATTTTTATCTAAGGCAAGGTTTCCTTCTCTGTTATAACTTTTCATCGAAATATTTTTTGGCCAGATATTTATATGTTGTACAAAGGTATTCGAAGTGGCTTGTGATAAGTAATACACTTACATACTCTTCTGGTGCCGTATTTCAAACTATAAAATAATCATTCAGTTCGTTAAAGAAATGCAGCAGATATTGGCTCTTGATTGGTTAAGACTATGAAAAACTAATTTTCTCCACGTTGCAAAAATTTATTACGGATTTCAATTTAATCCAAACATTAGTACCTGTTTTGCTTGCAATAAATGGCTTTTCAATATACAACTGTACGGAAAAGTTTTCTTATAAAATTTTTGAGATGTTTCGGTACTGAATCGTTTCGGTAGACTTCGGTTACCTTGTTTTTCGCACTTAAGTTGTTGGAATACATCGGAATTTGCAGAATCAAAATATTTATTAATATTAGGAGAGCCAGTTGCTGTCGAAATTCGACCGTTTTTTTAGTTTTTAATAGCGTAATTTAGCAGGTAATTTAACTTGTAAGGTACAAAATCACTCACCGGAAAATCTCCTGTTTTGAAACTAAAACCTACATAACTACACTTTTTTATATCTTTGAAGGGTTTTGGAGGATTCAATGAATTTTAAAATCACTAAAATCCGATAACTCAACAAAATTCGATAAATGTACCAATTTTGAAAAATACGATAACTCTATAATGTATATATCCCGATAAGAATCGATAACTCAATAAACCTTAGATACCCCTATTAATTTCGACAATTTACATCGACAAATTTCGATAACTAGTTACACTCTGGTAACACGATAAAATTTGATAAGCAGCGATGGCTCCATAAACTTATAGATCCTGAAATTTCAATAAACCGATATATCTAGGAAACTCCAAACGCTTCGATTCGTTAAATCGAAAACTTTCAGTAAATCAATAAATGTCGATAGCTCGATAGGTTGGAAAACTCGATGCATTACAATAGCTCGATAAATTTCGTTATAGATTTGTAATGATGATTCAATAAATATCGATAACTTGATAAATTGCATCAACTTAACAAATTTCGATAATCCCATTAGTTTCTATAGCTCGATAGCTATCCGTAAATCTCGACAAATAATTTTCTGTTTCTATAAATTTCGACAACTCAATAAACAATGATCAATTTGAATAATTCCATACGTTGCGATAGCTCTAAAAACATGTATAACTCGATAAATTTCAATAACTATACACTTCGATAAATCGATATATATCAGTGACTTAGTAAATTTCGATAACCATATTTTTTATGACTGCATTTATTTCGATTGTTATCGAAAAAGTTCAATGAATAAATTCTCTTACCCTTTCAGTTACCCTGATTCTGATGTATTTCTCATTGTTCTCATTTTCGTCGTTATCATCATCACATTTACATTTATTACAAAGCTTAATTTCAAATACGAAGTAAAACAAAATGCGAAAACAACTCCAATTGAACAGGTTGCAACAACACGTATACACAAATACAGAAATTTTTAAACGACGATTTTGGCCGTAAAATAAGATGAAGATAATGATAAATAAAAGAAAACTGCACTCTACGAATTATTTAAAAACTCCATTCGCACTTCTTTGTTTCACAAGTTCCGATTTTCATTACAGATTAGATATCGAACCACCCTAATACCATACCTAACTAACATGTAAAACAAATACTCGTTTGCACTTGTTGGATCGAGTTTCAACTTTGTTGAAGTGGCAAGCAATTCTGCGGCACGTAACCAGCACGAGTATCTAATGGCTGATGGAGGTGTTGCCGCGCTAAAACAAATGAATTTCCGTTAAAGGTGTGAATGATAATAGTGTGGATGTTGAGAGAGTAGTGCGAAGTGTACGTGTTGCAACAAATCTCATGCAACAACAAAAGCAAATCGGTTTGCTGCGGATATGTAGGTACATACATACGTTTACAGTTGCATATAACCGTTTGGACATTGAGTGAAATATTCACTGACTGAAGTGCAGTAGTGTGGAAAATATTGCTTTTCAGCATAAACACATATGTATGTACATGTGTGTATGCATGTACATATGTCTGTCCGACTACCATTTTGCCAGCACCTCGTTTGTTAGCTTTGCTGGCGTTTGATGTTAACACCCAAATGTCAGTATGCTGCACGTTCGCCATTTGCGATGCGGTGTTGCATTTGTGTGTTGGTATTAGTGTGTGGAAGTGTTGCAGTTTGTTTTTTTCACGATTATTAGTGGAATTCGCGCTTCTGTGTATTCGCTGTATCCGGCGTAATTGTAACTGGTCGAGCGTGTGGTTGTTGTTGCATGTGTATTTGAAGTACCGCTAGCAACAACAAATCACACGCTCATGCAGTTACAATTACACAATATAAAACCACGATTGAGAGAATACAAAGGTTGCGCCGATCTCGGACCGCTATTCCTCTCTTAACGAATTTGACAGAATCGTTGTTTGCATGGCGTCACACTTGTGGAACTTGTTTACGTTTTCCTTGCAACATTTTTTCTTCTTCTTCCATTCTTGCTCACGTTTTGGCATTTCTCTCTCGCAATTGCACCAGTGTGACGTCATACAAAAATTATTCTCAAAAATCCTCTCTGATCGGCGCAATCTTGTATTCTATCATTCTTGATATAAAACGAATACACAGAAGAGCGAATTCCCCTATTGTTTTATTTTTTGTTATTTGTTTATGAAAATATACAAATGTTGGGGCTTTAGAATTAGAATAGAAGAAAACATTTTTTTTATATCAGCAGCGTGAATAACTATATTTTTGTTTATTATATTCGTCTTGCATCGATAATTTTGTTAAACTAAACAAGCAATTTTTGAGCAAAAAACTCAACCGACTTCAATTAAAAAAAAAACTCTCTGGGGATGATATACCATTTCCATGTAGTCTACCTATTATTTTTTTCGAGCTAGTAATATTTTTTTGACCGATCAGCTGAATCAAATAAGCTTCTCTGTGACCATTTTAAAAAAATTACTTGATTACAAAGATAACTTTATGCCGATTATTTGAATAAAATTTCGGGCACGTGCGCGCCGGGACCAGCTCAGATGCGATTCATTATGGGAGTCTGATTATCAGCCGAGTCTTTGCACTGGTTCGCACAATAAAGTCTTTCGTTTTTTTTTTTTGCATAAATCAATGGCCTTACGTTATCTCAGAGAAAATAATCAAGAGGCTTTGAATCACACCATCTTGGTTTTCAATCGGCCATTTAAAGAATAATAAGAGTTTTATAGCATTAGTCTGTTCATGATGAAACGGTAAACCAAACTGATCAAAATTGAGAATAGCGTTGCAATGTCTAAACAATTTTTACTGTTTAATTGTTATCGAAAACCGGAACCCCTAATAAATACCCTTTAAAAGGTTCTTCCGTGGGATATGTTTTGGTTGCAACTAATCAAAAAGCGCTTCGATCAGCGGGGCTACTCTGTAATGCGATACGACAGAGAAATGGGATTCGATAGGGCAATCACCCCCGTGTATTACTTACGATGTGTTTGCGCGAATGCGAATCATTTGTTTTCGCATACCATTAAATATAACAAATAAAAACCGACCTTGAAGCGCCTTTAATTCTAGTAAAGTAGGTGCAAGTCTGAAGTAGCTAGGACTTACCCTTAATTTTTTTGCAATTTTTTGTTGACGATGGTAGCCATCTTCTTCCATTAAAAGTGTGTTCGACGAGTTGTTTATATGGAAAAAATTCGACAAATAAATTTGCCAAAAATTAACGGTAAGTCCTAGCTACTTCCAAATTTGCGCTTGCTCCACTACAGAATTGAATGGGCCACAAGGTGGTTGTTTTTATTTGTTATATTTAATTTTGAAATAAAAAAAAGCGGAAATAATTGTTTCATTAATACATTTATATTTTCTGAAAAAAAACCTGTTCATTCAGGTATATTTGCGCGCTGAAAAATAAAAAATGGGTGCTGAAACTTTGTCATCGCTATTTTTTTTTGTGACCGACAACGAAATTTTTATATGAGACCGAAAGAAAAAAGTTGTTATATGTATATATATCGTACATATTCACAGACATTTTTAATTTTTAAGTACCTAGTAGAAAATGCTTCGCGAAAAATTTCCCTTTGCTGCGGTTAACCATTTTTTTTTGCTTTTCTTTCTTTCCTTAAATGGTTTGCACAATTTTAACTGAAATGAAATGCCTTAAACTACGACAAGCAAAAAAATGTGTATAAGTAAATATTCATGCTTGTGCACGTTTAAAGCAAAGAAAACACCAAAAAATTGTTTGTAGCATTCTTATTTTTTTTAATCTAAAATGTGCAAATTTTCCAGCAACATAAAATGCACACATACTTATCATGCAAGCATTTATGCTATACTATATGGTGTTGGTAACGGTGTTGCTTTAAATATGCGAAAAATATCAAAAGTAACAAAAAATTTCGAATGCTCGCTGCTGGCTTCGTGAAAAGGCTTTAGATGAAAAATGTACATATTTTTAAGTTTAAAAAAGTATTTAAAACTCAACATGCGGGCAAATAAAACCACAGACTATTTTCTGACGTTTTTTTTTACACTGTTTAGTGGTAGAAATTGCGTTAATTTTTGAAACATTAAAACTATTAAAACAACTATGTGGTCGAGTTTTTCTGCAAGCTAGGCATCAAGGAATGATGAGGAGGTGATTTAATATCTAATGCAGAGCTGCTGCCAACTGGAAGGGGGAACAAAAATTCAGTGCACTGCGTTCAAGGACGAAAATAATGAAATATTTTGTGTTTATGTAATTCCTACTTCAATTCAGCAAGTAAGGAATATAAACATATTTCGAAACTATAGTCCAAGTACATTACTCCGGTGGGTAGCCACATAAGTCCAACCTAATCTTCCGCTCGATAGATAGGTACAATAACAAGCAAACTAGAATTTTAACTACCGCTTGTTGAAACGTTTCCAGTACTCCTAGACAGTCCGGCACAGTTACAGAGTAGACTAAAAACGAGTTTTCTAAATATTAATATTTTTTGTAGCTTCTACTAGAGATGGGCACGGGCATGTCTTTTGGCAGTGGCACGAGCTTGTGCGTCCATGGTCGTACGTTGAATTTCTAATAAAGTAAGAAAAAGAACGAAACGCCCGGTAAATTATATGGGCCAAAAATAACTAGGTAAAAACAAAACAGATGTTGGAATTGAGCTATTTTAGCAACCATTTTGCATTTTGAACTTTTCTGTAACTAAGTAGTTAGTGGGTATTTTCGTTATCGAACAAATAATAAAAAATACAAATCAGGCATCTTATTCACTATACTTAGTACCAAAACGAAAATCCCGGCCCTCATAATATTATGTTTTTAGAAAATATGAAGCTGTAAGGTTTAATTACTGGAGAGGAAAAAATATGGGAAAGCTGTAAGAAAATTAAAATACTATATGGTAATGCCTTTAATTTTCTGAATAAGGAAAATTGTGTCGCGTCTGAAATATCAGATCCGCGCCCGTCTCTAATTCCTACAGAGTAGTGGTTTGCCTTTGTCACGTGCCCCGAAAGACGGTTCTTACTTACACTCGTCGTCTCCATTTTGCATTTGTACTAGATCAAGGCTCAAGGCATATTTTATGGCCTCTGGTATTATATTATAAATGGCTACTGTAATGTTTAGAATGATTAAAAGACGATCGATAAACTTTACAGGCGGTTAAGCGCGTTCTCCGTAAATAGGCTGCTTTGTTATGCATGTTGATCATTAAACTGCTTTTACACGGGTCGATTTATGGCGACGGAAAAGTCAACTATATAATATTGGCTAGCCAATGCAATTACACCAGTCGACAAAAGTAACATGTTGAAAATAAATTTTTTACCAAAAGAATTTTAATAGAAAATCGACACGTGTAAAGCTGTCTTTAGACAACAGTCGGCGATCAATGGGAAGAGGGAGATTTAAGCTCAAAGGAGAAAATTCTGTTTGGCCTTAGATCCTAACGAAGTTCGAGGACTCTTAGCTGAGTTGGTTGATTTTTCCGACAGGGTGGTAAGACGATTTATTTTGGAACGAATTTCCGTTATCCCTTGTCAAGCTTGGTTTGCAGACAAACTGGTTTGAGCGTTGTGCCATCTTCAGTGGAGAACGAAAAATTACGCTGAAGATGGCACAACGCCGAAACCGGTTTGTCTGTTATATCTTCTTTATATTTTTTCGCCAAACGATTTTGGTACAGTTAAAGTCAGCGTGAGAAGTTCTATCTTCAGATATTAGCTGATTATGGTTATGGCGGAAAACCAAAATTCAATTGGTGTCTATGGCTGTGGTTATGCCTATGGCGTTATGGTGGGACACCACTACATATTCGAATACTGTGTTGGCCATACGGTTGGTTGGAGCAGCGGTTTTATATGGTTATGGTTATGTCACCAGCAATTTAACCTTAACGTACGATATATTGATGTTCTTGTATCGAGGGCCTCAACCACTCCGTACTTACCCAGCAGATATCAGTACCTACCACCCTAACGTAGCATTCCAATGTCTGTAAAGGGAATGTAGATGTCACCGAAAAATGTAAAAAAAAACTCCTCTATGTTCGGCAATTTATTTTTTTCTCGAAATCGTCTTGCAAAAATACTTCAAGGTGTGACGGTCTAGAGTACATATATAATTATTGTATTATATATTTACACTTACCTGTACAACATCGCCATGTTGACCACCAGCGGCAGTAAATGTCAGCACACAAACGTATGGCAGTCGATCCTGTTTGGGTCGGTACAGTTCCAGGGAGTAGGTTAAACCGATGTCGCCATAGTAAGTGCGATTACAACCTGTAATGTGATGATGAAATGGAAGAGATAAGAGTAAGGAAATACATTGACTGCAGCAGACAGCAGCAACTTCATTTCAATTAATTTTAAGGAATTAATAAAATACGCTGCGGCTGGTATGGGGCCTGGGGCCTACTACGAGATACGCTGCAGATATGCAAAGCAGAAGTGGCGGACATTCGAATTAGCTTTTATGAGCACAATATATTCAAATCTAAGCGCCAGCGAAGAGTTCGAATGGCAAAGCTGCAAAGCGAGTGCAAATTAAAGCTGTCAGCAAAAACACCTCCCCCTCCCCCTACCCTCTGCCCCATGCGTTGTCATTCGCCTTTTGCAAAATTTTCGCATTGTGCGCGAAGTTGTTGACATTCATTAGTTGCTTGGTTGCGGAACTCCTTCCTCAGCGCAATAATCCTTTTGCGCTGTCACTTGCCATTGTGTGCCAGCAGCATTGGCGGTGGCACGAAATCGCATGGAAGACAATGCAATTGTGATGACATTGCCAGCTGTTATGGCTGCATTTGTAGCTTAAGTAGTATCTTTGTTTGCTAACTGCAGTTGCTTCGGCAGTTGAGTGTCTTTTCTATTGTATTTATGTATTCTCAGCACCCACAGCCGCAACAGCAACAGCAACAGCAACAGCTACGACCACTGTCATTAATGTGGTTTTATGTGGCAATTTGAGTTTGTTGCATTGTTTTATTTTGGCGGTCATTGTTAGTTTGATGTCGGCAACGCCATCTTGTTGCTGTCATAATTCGCAGAAATATCAACGCTGGTGGTGCTGTTGGGCTACTTAAAGATAGCACCCACCAACCTTGCTCTGCATAATTCAGTATTTCTGTTTTATTAGCATCTGAATTGAAGACATCATCATCGTGGGGTGAAGTGGTCGTGTATACTATGCGTTGAAAACTCTAATGCTTGCCCCAACGAACGTCTTTTACAAACTTATGCTGCACAGTGGTTCAAAACTGGAATTTAATGTGCATTGTTTACTGGAGTCTTCATTTTTCAACGAATTTGATTGATTTTTTATTTTTGTTTTTTGATGAAAGCTTATAAAATTAGAAATTTTGGAATTTTTGTATTTTAATTTGTTTATAGTTATTAAATTTTTTAGTGCAAAGTGCGAAAAAAGTATACATTTTGAAGACAATCGACATAATGAAAGGTAGTTGAAAACAATTGAAAGGGCTCCCCAAAAACGAAAACAAAAAATTAAAAATTTCACAAGAAAAATTTCAAATGTTACATAAAAAAATTTCACCAAAATTAATTTTTTTTTGAGCTTTTAGAAAAATTTTGGATATGCAGTTTTCTAGATCGCTAAACTTTAGTGCAATAAAGTGCAATTTTTTTGTAGCTAAGAGTTCGCGTTGATTTTTACAAGCTTTGTTTTAACAATTTTTTAACTAACTTTTCGAGCACATCTGCATGTTGTGTTGTTTATACTCTTATTATCTATGTAATTATTAAGAATTAACGCAAACTCTAAGTCACTTGAAACTTGCACTTTATTATACTAAAATTTCATGATCTACAAAACTGCATACCCAAAATTTTTAAGACCCAAAAGAAATTAAAATTTTGGTGATTTTTTTTTTAACATTTAAATTTTTTTGTGTTTTTTTCGTTTTCTGGGAACCCTACATTTTTTTTACTAGTTTTTATTATGTAACATTTATTATCTGCGACTTTTTCTGCACTTTGCACTAAACAATTTAATATAACGAAATAAAATTTCCAAAATCGGGCTCAACTGGTCCGTTGCAAATTTTTTTATTAATTACTTTATTCAAGTTGAGTGAAAAACGAGGACTCCAGTGAGTTATGACAAGCAAATGCCATTTTTGAACCACTGTGCACTGTGACCAGAAAGTACTTAGTACTCAGTACACTTGTACATATTTTGNTTTTGTGTTTTTTTCGTTTTCTGGGAACCCTACATTTTTTTTACTAGTTTTTATTATGTAACATTTATTATCTGCGACTTTTTCTGCACTTTGCACTAAACAATTTAATATAACGAAATAAAATTTCCAAAATCGGGCTCAACTGGTCCGTTGCAAATTTTTTTATTAATTACTTTATTCAAGCTGAGTGAAAAACGAGGACTCCAGTGAGTTATGACAAGCAAATGGGATTTTTGAACCACTGTGCGCTGAGACCCGAGAGTAGTCAGAACACTTGTACATATTTGTTGTTGTAAGCTAAGCAGTTGTAGAGTAAAGACCAATGGGACAGCTTTGGTTACACGCCACTGCAATGGCTAACTCAAAGTGCCATAAAAGTTCTGAGCTACACTTCGAAGCATGCCTTTCCTACCGTTTGTTTTGTTTCGTCTTGTTTATGTATTGTTGCTATTGTTGCTAGACATTTGCCTGGTTTTGCAAAGCAATGACTCTTTCACGGTTTTATGATGCGCAAACGAAATGGTGTTATGGGTTTTGAAATTGAAATTCTTTATGAAACTTTTACAAATTACACAAGGAACAAGTTTGAATTGAAATTGAAATTTTACAACCATGTAACTTTCAGCGTGCACTCTCTGGCACGAGGGAAGTGCAATTGCATGTTTACATTAAAATATAGCTGCGTTCGAATTCACTTCATTTAGTTCATTAGAGGCAAATTTTATTATCTAAGGTTTAGAGAAATGGCCAGTATTATTCAGCTTGATGGAATTGTTGTTTAACTAAATAAATTTAAAAAAAAACTCATTGCATTATGTGCTCAAAGTATAAGCAAAATTTATTTGCCAAAATAAACGCAGATTGAGCTTAATAGAGCAGAAAAAAGAATTAGTTTTCTGAGCCACTATTCCTGTACAACTGTAACGGGTTGTGGAGGTGACTTGTCGTTGCTTCACTCTGAGCCAACTATATTAGATGCCTAGATAGGAGATATATCCCGACAACACGAAAGACGGCACATGTAACGTTTATGCCGTAGGTAAAATAAGCTCTCCCGGCTCTCCGAAAGTTGCCAGACCAACAAGATTCTCCTCCTTCCTATTGAAGACCCTTGAGAGACAGAATGACTTGCATGTGGATGCTTGAAAGTAAAAGTGCGTATATTTTTGCATATTTGAAACTTGCGAAAAAAAATTTGATACGCCGAATATGCACTTTCTGAAAGGTAGTACATACATATATGATTTTATATACCTTTTGCGTGTAAACTTTTTATGTCTAACTTTCAAAAAAGCAAAAATTTATACACCACTCTAGGAAAACCGGCAGATGGCCGCGATCACCTGATTGGCTAATCGCTGTACTCACTACATATTTAAAGTATTGCCATACTTATGTTTGGTATACTAAAACTTGTTCTACTGGACTGGTAGGCGGCAACCCTGACACATAATTTTAGAAGCGACCATCTTATTGGCTGATCTCTGCACTCGTCGCTAATGCGGAACGCTGCTACACTTGTGGCACGTGATGACGCATTTTCATGGATTACCGCTTCGGCCAATTTGACGGTTATAATCGCCTTCGCTTATGTTTGGGAATGAGCTAGAAGATCGTCTCCGAGATTTGCAGATCACAGCCACTTCGACCAACGTTCCTAAGGTAAAAACTTCATATTTTGATTGCACAATTACTTTCTAGGCCTTTAAGCTCCAGTTAGAAAAACGGCTACGGCAAACAACTGGAGAATGGAGGATAAATCCGCTGCGCTATTTGTTGCATTAAAGGGACCTGCAGCGGAAATATTGCAAACTATTCGCGACTGCGAAAAGAACGATTATGATGCATTGATGGGCGCCGTGGAAAGACGTTATGGCAGCGAGCAAAGGAAGCAAATCTAAAAGATGGAGCTAGAGAATCGCTACCAAAAAGACAGCGAGTCTCTACAGTGATTCGCCTTCAAAATTGAAAGGGTAAAAATCCAGAGATTCGTCAACGGGATGAAGGACATGTATCCCAAGCGAGAGTCGTATGCGAATCCAAAGCTAACGTTTGCCGAAACAGATCCGTATGCTCAGACACGTGAAACGGCGGCGCTGCTAAAGTGACCAGCTTATGAAGCCAATCGAGTACAGACAGAAATGCTGAAGAAGACAATCCAACTGCTGGGTGAGAAAAAGTATGGCTCTGGCAAATGCTTTAAATGTGGGAAGCCAGGCCACTTTGCCTGCGATTGCAGCGCAAGTTCCAACAGAAATAACAACTCAGCAGGTCACAAACGCAGAGTGGAAGAAGATGAACCAAACCCCTGTCTGTCGTTAAACTAAAGCGAGCCAGCAGGAAGGGCCGCTCGCTGAGTCCAGCAGTTGAAGGGCTCATAATCGGTGTCTTAAAAATTGGTCGGAAAGCGAGAAACCTCACTGTTAGTGGATTTGTGAATGGGCAAGAGCGAGTGCTGATAGTGGATACTTGGGCGTCACATTCCATTATTCGACCTGATTTGGCCACTTTTAATGTGAAGCAACTACCTGGAGCAAAGTTGTGCAACTGGTGAGCATACCGAAATTTTAGGAGAAGTATCGTGCAAGGTAATAATCGGGGCGTGCCTCGTACAATAAGTTTATAGTTGCGGACATTGTGAATGAATTCATCATCGGCGTGGACCTCCTACTTGTTCAAGGCATGAAGATTGACTTTCAGGGAGTTATCTTTACATATCGCGACAGGAAAGTGCCACTTAGAGTTGGTTACGACAACCACAACTGCAGCAACGGATAAGCGGTTAGTTGGGAAGAGGTTGGCAGTGATGGAGACGGAGTTGTTCCAACAGGAGAAGGAAGCAGTTCAGCTGTACAGGAAAAGCATACCTGTTCCGCCAAGCCAGAGCAAAAGAAAAAGTCGCTACGAGGAAGAGGTCACGGCAAGCCAGGTAGTGTTTCCGGCAGGAAGAGAGCCACTGTACCACGTTGCAATGGTGATACGCCGCTGGCCGGGAATGGAGGCGGCTGTGAAGGTAGTGGGCGCGCTTCGAAGTACTTAGGAAAAGGTCCTGG